TTATATATATATATTTTTTTAAATATATACAGGTCCCACAAAATTGATGATAAATATTTTAAAGACACGTTCTTTTTAACATTTTAAGACGAAAGATATATCTCTTATGTGTCTAATTGTAAGATATGTCTCTGAATATAAAAGATAAAAAGAATCTGTCTTTAAAATATTTATCATCAATTTTGGGATACCCTGTACATATTCAAAAGATACATATATAATGTAAAAAAATGGAATCATGTATATTATATATAAATAGTATTATGTAACATATACAGGGTGTCCCTTGTATGTATATGTACATACATATATATACAAAATAATATTTAGGAGATAATTAGAATATGTAAGAAACGAATATAATAAATATATGTAATTTATCCCATACACACAGATCATTATCTCAGTACATATTACAGCAACGTTGCAGCAATATTGTTGTAAATTTCTAGTGTTGTATGGAACAGTATGTATAATAAAAATCGAAATAAAAGAATTGACGCGTTTATATTTAACATTCTCTACATATTCATTTCTCTTAATTATTCATTTGTAATATAAAAATCACATCTTTCCGTATTGCTTTTCCATATTCACCTGTATTGTGCGCGAATCGAAATGGCTTATATCGCTTACACGTGAAATAATAGCGCGAGCAAGTTAAAGTATATCGAGTAGCGAGAATCATTGTTTCGCGTGCATCGCTGCAAATCCTCTGGAGGAACCAGAAACGTTTTAGCAATATAAATATGTACACGTCCGATATAGTCTCGCGTTCTGTCTTCGACGCTCGGCTTTTTTCCACCACCTCCTCCTCCCATCCCTGCTCCTTTTTCCTCCGCGAATATCGCCATTGCTATTCAGATATTCGAGACTCTCTCCGCGGGGCTTTAATAAAAATATTTGCTTAGAAAACAGTTCCGTCGCGGGGGGTGCGCCCCTCCCTCCCGAGCGCAAGGCGAGTTATTCTTATATCCAGATTCGCGGCGTATTCTCCGACGGCGATTTCCATAAATGCAATAATTCGAAATAAGACAACTTTCGGTGCTCTTACTTCCGACCTAGAATAGACAGTATATAGGGTGATTCTTAATTATACGTCAATACCTCAAGGGGTGAATTTAGAGCTAAAAATAAACTGAAAAAGTTGCACTAATATTGGTCGCTTAGACTGCAGTTTTCAAATTATAATAAATTATGCGTATATAATATTATATGATATAATATATAATTATAATACAATCATATACACACACATATATATATATATATACATTACACATGTAAACATATATATATTTCAATTATATTATTTTATTTCGAATAATACTTTAAATAGTTTAAATAATATTTGTATTTATGTAAATTTATCTTTTTTTCAAAAACAATTAGATAAGAACTTAGATGAGAGTTAAATTACATTCGAAAGATTATCATTGCTATTAGAACAAAAATTATTAGAATTATTTTTCATAAAAAAGGTAAGAATTAAATTCGTTTTAATTTTGCAAGAACTAATTCAATTTTTTGTAAGAAATAATTCAAATTAAAATAAGTTGCAATTTCAAAATTCAAAACTTCTTGATACTATAAAAAAACGTAATGTATATGCAAGAGAAAACAATTTAATTAAAAACAGAAATAAATTCATATGATTATATCTTAAAGCGTTATTCTTTTAATATAATATGATATGTAGTTTCACGTATTTTATTACACTTGATGTAACACATGTATAAGAACATCTAATATTAAGGATAGAAATTAATAAATGTATGCTACTCAGATTTATTTCCCAGTCCTGTGAGAACGCATTGTTCGGCCTGACATACCACCATTCTCTTAAGACGTTTTCTGAATCTGTATCTCAATTCTTTTTTCATAGTATATCCGATGTTCACCATTTGGTATTCGTCGATATTCATATCGTAAGCTTCAATGAATCTCTGAAGAAGATATCAAAGATTTGTAGTACACAAAACTCTTTCGAGTGTTAAAAGACGCGAATGGTACCTGATCGTCTTCGAAGATGCAGAAGATGTTGTTGAAATTCGGCGAAACGCGGCGAATGCAACTGAATGTGTTGTTCACAGCATCTTGACATTTGCACGCTAACTCTTCCACGCATAACTAAAAAGTAATTAACGTAGTAATTCAAAAAAACATAAATTTTGAAAAATAAAAATTTTAATACATGAGACTTGCCGTGATATTCAAATCGTCGCTTGGACAACCAGGCGATGGCTCGTTGGACCTCTCTCCTCTATATTCTATCAAAACGGTGCGATCTTGAGGTAAGTTACGATTTGAATTAAATAATGTCGTGCCGTCCGATGGATATTTCACGCCAGCTATGTTTAAAATCGTGGCGAAGATATCTACGCTGCTGACTGGCGCAGAAACCGTAGACAGCTCGATTCCGGGACCGGATATCAGTAACGGGACACGTATATCCGTTTCATAAGGTTGACGCTTATCTATTGGCATGCTGAACTGGCCTATTAAAAAATGCACTTTGTGTTAGAATAATAATGTATAGAAAATATATAATAAATATAGAATAATTATGTTATGAAAATATTATATATATATATTATTCTATATATAGAATATATATAGAATTATTTATTAGTACAAGAGCGTAATTTTAAAAATATATTTAAAAATTTAAAAATATATATAATGTATTATATATCGAGCTTCTAAAATTAGTAGAGCTTCCAAAATTTAAGATGGCTCTATCTACTGGAAGTACGACAAAAGCACGAAACCATCTCGTCATATAAATGATAAAGCGTGATCATTGCAATGATTGAATATGCACATCATTTATTAAAATATAGACATAAACAGTAAGGGATTCGGCCAATCATAGTACAGATCTACAGACCATAAGACAATAACATAACAAGCAGTAAAAAAAGATTGATTTGTTTACTCCTTATGTCTTAATGTATGTTTTTTGTGTATCTTAGGCCGGAATCCATAGTCCGGTCTTCTCAAGCAATATCTTAAGATGCTAATACGGCTCTCTGATTGGTTCACTAGCTTAAGATCATTTCGAATCTTGAGCACCATCTATGGATTCCGCCCTTAGTCTTAACAGTTCTTTGTTTCCTAACGTTCAGTGCCTAAGTAGGTTAATAACTGTCGCCTGATTCTTATGTTTAAGACCGTCTTAAGTAAAGTCGTAAGTTGTCTCAAATCAATGAAATAATAACGGATTGTATACCGGCCATTAAATCACTTACCAACGTGATATCCATTGTCGGAGGTGTAAATAAAGTAAGTGTCGTCTAAAAGATTTCGCTCTTCTAATAAATCGTGTATGTTCTTAACGAGTTCGTCTACCGCTAATAAGGTTTCCCATCTCGATCTGTATATGTCGTCCAATTTTGGTAATATATTGTCTGGCAAAGGGGTTGGACCTTTTCTAACTAGCCAATGTTTATCCTATTTTCAAAAATAAAACCCACCTAAGAATCTACATTTGGATTTTACATCCGAGGATAGAATTTTGTTTATAATTTTATATATCATGTATTTTGATGCGATCGACATTTAGTGTGACATTTTATTTATTTTATATACGTATATATGTGTATGTTCTCTAAAAGTTCTGATTCTTTAATTGCTTTCTATATTACATGGCATATAAAATTATAAATAGAATATCTTGATTTTTAGCATAAATTATATATATTATCTAAAATGATCTTTAAGAATCCGAGTTATTTTGAAAAAAATAATTATTACGTTGGATAAATGTTGTCACCTGATTCACGGGTACATTAAAATTTGGTGTTCTCTTTGCTTTTATGCCGATGTATTTATCCTTGTGTCTGACTGCAGGTATAAATGGCTCGTGAGGGGCTGGAGGTGCCAACACCATAAGAAAAGGTTGATCACCGGAGTATTCTTTGATAAAATCTACAGCCAGATTATTCTGAAATATATATATGTATATATATTTAATATAATATATATAATTGATTTTTTATTTGTTCTATTAATGAACAAAGTCTATAGAGTTCAAATAATTACAATAACAAATGAAAAGCTTTCAAATTCTCATATATGATAAAGAGTAAAAATGATGTTTGATTCACAGGTATAGTTTTAAACTTTCGTAAAAATGAGTAATTTTTTATAGTCTGTTCAAAGAGATGGAAAAATTGCAAATGCAATTTTATTCGCTACATTTGAATAAGACAAGATTTTTTTACAGTTGTATGTTGGAAGTTTTTGTATACTCACGATCACGTCGGTAAGGTAATCGTTCGAGCTATGACCGTACTTTCTTTCAGTACCGTTTATGGATAACGAATAATTGTAATACTTTGAGTTTCCTATAAGACCGGCCCACCAGTCCCATCCCAATGGTACATGAGCCGCACCGCCTGTTTTCTTCTTTCCATACTATCGTATGTGCATTAATTTATTTTAATTATCACAAATAATAATTATAGAAAAAAGTAAAAAGATTTTAAAATTCCATTTAAAAAATTTCAAAATCCAATTTTTACTTCGATTATTTTAGACCTCAAATTTCGAATTTAAAAAATCTTATAAAATTTAAATAAAATTATTTTTTCTTATAATCATTCGTGTGCATCGTAAAACGAAATTTTCTTTAATCGAAGAATCATTAAAGAGGGAATCTACCTGATTCAAATATTTCCCTGCGTAAAACGTTTTGTATCCGATGATATTTTGCAAAAGAGAGCCGAACGTTGTCGGCTCTTGTAATCGTCGCCATTGCGCGCTATTACAACCACCGGCAACAGAATTGTTTACCGTTAGATGAGTATGTTGATATCGCCCTGTTAAAATGGATGCCCGATTGGGACAACAAACTGGTGTGGCTACAAACTAAACGACGATTCTTTCTTTACACACCAAACCGAATAGAAATGATAATATAATTTCGGCATTCTTTATACTTACGCAATTTGTAAACGTGGCACCTCGATTTCCTATAAGATTTAGAGTATTTGTCATTGGCGTCTAAAATTATAAATTATATCAGGGTGAGTACACACTTCCAAAGTATAATTTAAACGACTATAATTGTTTTCTAATTAAAGTAATTGAAATCTTATTTTATTATTTTTTTACTTCTCCTCTGTAAAAGATCTTGCATTAATCATATGATAAAAATGATTTCGGTCAAATTGATTGTGATATTTTGTAAATTTATGAGATATAAGCAAAGTTTTTTTACATAAAACTAAAAAATGGATTGATCTGCTGTAGCATAAGTGTTAAAAAAAGTGCTTATATGCACTTCTTTAATGCTTTGTTAACACTTTTCAGGCTATGTGCGTTACCCAGTAAACGAGACTGGATTAAAATGGATTAAAATTTTTTTTTTATCCGAATGCGTATTTTAAATAACCAATACTTTTTTGGATTTATATATATATAATTGGATTCAATTGGATTTAATTAGATTCAATTGGATGCAATTGAATTGAAAATCTGCATTTCCTATTCAAAATTTTGAATTGAACAGTATTCACAGTGCACAGAAAGAACTGATATTATTTTTAGATTGAAAAGTATAGAGATATGCTCCATGCAATTCGTATAAATGAATAAAAATGCATTCAGGATTGAAAAGCATTCATTTTAATATATATTCGTGAATCTATATTTCTGAAAATCTGAATCCATTTCAAAATCCATTCTCGTTTGCTGGGTATTTAGGAAGTTGCGGTTCTAATCAGAGCATAGAATAATTTTTGATGATTTTGTCTAAGAAAATTTTTGAGTATCTCATAATCTGTAAAGTTAATTTGACCAAAGCCACTTTTACTGTGATTAGTTCAAAATCCTTTGCCGATACATTTTAAAATTAACTTTATCAATTTAATATATATATAGTACATATAATATATTAGAATAAATTTTTATTAATTTTATTAATCTTTATTTTTTTAACTAGTTTGAATAAAACAAAGTTAAAGACGCTACCATGCCACCTAGAACAGAATCTTGATCATCCGTAATAATTAGCACGATATTCTTCGATATCGAGAATGACAAACAATTGAGTAATAAGAAAAAGGATGCTAGACACATATTGATCTCCCGGTGAAATACGAAAGTAGTGAGTGGAAAAATCCGTGTTATAATTTCCAGCTGGCCGCGACAGAATTAAACGCCACCGTGTCTAATTGGCGTTTCGCCAGATCTTCTGAAAATACATGTATAATATACGGTAGTCTCAATTCTTAATCTCGCGCACAGTATACGGATGAATTGCGTACGTGATCGAAGCTACGAGATTACTGAGACTACACAATTGACTACAGTTACATGTTTATATCAACGTATTATTATTACATGATATCGTAGAATAGATTTGTTCTTTGTGGCTGAACACAGGGTACACTTACTGCACTTAAAATGGAATAGATATATATTTGAAGCACATGTATATTTAGTAGAAGTGAGATAGAAAATTTTAGTGTAGTTACTGCGACGAAAAAGGCACATCTTCAGGCCGGAATCAGACTACGCATTGAAGATTGAGGTTGAAGATTGAAGATTGAAATTTGACCAATTAGGACAAAGAAATTTTAGCTCCTTTCATTTCGATTGGTCAAATTTGAATTTTTCAATCTTCAATCTCAATCTTCAATGCATAGTCTGTCCGGCCTCAGACGCATTGAAGATTGAGATTGAAAAGTGAAGATTAAAATTTGACCAATGAGGACAAAGGGATTTTAGCTTCTATTGTTTTGATTGAATCAAATTTTAATCTTTCAATCTTCAATCTCAATCTTCAATGCATAATCTGATTTCGGCTTTAGGTTTGTTCGAGTCGCAAACTCTAAAGGAGCCTACAGACCAGAGCGGCGTAGCGGTGAGCGGCGAGCGGTAGCCCAATAAAAGCCATGCTTCACTAATGATGTCACGCAAAAGCGTGGCTCTCATTGGGCTACCGCTCGTCGCTCACCGCTGCGCCGCTCTGGTCTGTAAGCTCCTTAACATGCTCCTATCATAACTCCTACTCTATCAAGCACGTTCGAGTAAGTAAAGCCTTATCCCGGATCTACAATAGAGTTTTAAGCCTTAAGCCATAAGAAATGGGCGAATCACAGTCGATTATTCCCCTCGGAATCGACTATAATTGGTCAGTTTCTTACGGCTTAAGTCTTAAAACACCTATTGTAGATCCGGACTTAAACACAATAGACACAGGTAATAGGCACAGACAACAAGAAATAACGAGCCGTCCAATCAGAGCTCTGGGGTATAAGTTCGATATGATATCCCAGAGCTCTGATTGGACGGCTCGTTATTCCTGTTGCCTATGCCTAATAACCTGTGCCCATTGTGTTTCCAGCTTAAGAGCTATAGTAGAAGCATATTGGAACATGTTGGAGCATGCGACGCGACAAACATGCATGACTTTAAATTGAGATTGGATTGGAATTTAACTAATTAAATCAAAGTGCACTAAACTCGATATTAGTTTCCTTTTTTGTGATTGGTGAAAATTTCAATCCAATCTCAATTCTTATTGTGATCACGGCTTGTGTCCATTTCTATTGTCATTAGGCCTGTTCTTTTTGGCTGAACTTTTGCACCAGTTCATCTTTCTTCCTCTTTTTACCTCCTAGAGAGAAAAGGAAGAAAGATGAACTGGTGCAAAAGTTCAGCCAAAAAGAACAGGCCTAATGTAGATTAATTCTTAGAACTAGAAAAAGATGAAAAGTAAGTTAAATCCACGAGATTGAAATTAATCGGTAGAAAGTGGTGTTGAAAACGCGACAACGTCGATACTCCGGAAGTCAGTGACGTTGCGAAGGGACGACTGGCAGAGGGCGCCGGGGGATAAAAGTAGAAGCACTAGGAACATCTTCGGCGCTAGATCCCTACGCCTCCGGACACGCATACGGCACGGCGAACAAACGAGCGCGAGCGCGGCCGTTGCGCGTGTATCTCGTATCGCACGGCGACGCACGCACATACGCACGAACGAACGCACGTTTCTGCCAGCGGCAAGCTCGAAGCCCTATCCCCGCGCACGCCGTACGTATGTTCGATGCGCCACGTCGCGTGACGATCCCGATACGCGACCAGCCGCGAAATTATTATCGGAGCAAGTTCTGTTCTCCACGCTACCCACGCTCCACTACCCCCGGCATCCCGGAGAATAGCCGAGAAAGACACGCAGTAAGTTTGGTGAGATTCGATTAAGATCGCATATCGGTTCGGGCCGATCGTTACTCCTCGTAGGGGCGGGCCACATCGCGCTGCCGTTTTTCCTCTCTTTCATCTATCTTCGATACCTCTACCTCGTGCGACGTAGATCTCTGCTCCGGCGGCAGGCGGCTCCTCGCCCGCACGCCGACGCGACGGGAGCAGGCCGGGCAGACGGCAGGTAGCGCGGCGACGCCAGGTGTAGAACGCGCGGGCGCGCCGTGTGTCGTATTGTCGTAATTCGCGCGGAAGTACAGTTCTTCCGCCGCGCGCTGCCGGTTCTCTTGCGGAAGTGGCCGCTGAGGGCGCGCCGCTCGCGGCTCGCCAACCAATCGGCGCACGCGCCAGTACCGCCGCCGTTCTATCTTTCGAGTACGCTCGTGGCACGCCCTACGACTTCCTCCATTGTCCTTCTTTCCGAGATTCTCTTCGCGAGGAAGGATGGCTCAGAACAATTATTTCGGCTTTACTCACGGTGGGACGCAATATGGGTACGAAATCGTCTGCATTATCATTATCACTAAGTAGCTAGTGTTAAGTCGAGCGAGGATTCGTGGCCTCGAGCGCGTGCTTGCGATAGTGAAAAGACGTTCGCGTTTCCGACGGCACGCGTCTGAAAGGTACGGCCGGCTTGGCGGCCATTATTCTCGCCGCGAGAAATTAGCGTCCGATTCGAGCGTCTCCCCCGAGGGGCTTCCGATAGATTTTCCTATGGTACTAGTCACCGTCCGCGTTGCCCTTGCGTGTCGCATTTCCTCGCGCGAACGCTCGATGAACCTCCACAAGTCTGGCTGTGATAATTTTACTTTTTAACGTTGCTTCACGAATAGGGCGACCAGCGCCGCCGCATATCAGACTGGGCAAGCAGGATACGCGGTAACCCCGGCAGCTACCGCCGCCACGTACACTCAACGACCTGCTGCCGCTGCTGCGACCGGTTACGAGACGTACCAAGCAGCTGCTGCTGCAGCTGCAACCGGGACAACTTACGCAGGTAGGTTCTACGTGCGAATTCGGCATGGTCACGTTCGGCGATCGATCCCTTTATGAAAGAAATTTGAAATTTAAAAGTGTGTACTTATCGTAAACGTACTTTGTACGAAATTCCATCTCTCGTTGAATATAAACTTTTTTTTAAAGATTTGAACAAGTAACTATGAATATTATGGCAAAAAGTGCTGATCGGGTTCAGGTGTAGCAAGTGGAGCTATACTTGCACCCAGTTTCTTCTATATAAGTTTCTATGTGTTTCTTGTGGTACTGTAATCTACCATAGGCTGTATTCCATTCAACATTAGATAACAAGAATGAAATGATTCCATGAGCATTGTGAGTGTTAAACGGAGCACAATCATAGTAAACTGGAAATCTACTGAGACTTATAATGTATTCGATCCGACTCTGAATCAATGGTCTATTCTTTTTACATTTCTCGAATAGTTTAACTCTTTGTAAAAAGAAAGACCATTGACTCAGAATTGGGTCAAGTCAGTGAATTAAATACATTGTTAATAGATGTGCTTCTTTCAACAATTGGCTGATTGACTGCGGCCATAGCTCTATTCACGTTGCTTGAAATTTTTGCAATTAAAATGAAATATATTTGAGTGTTGAAAAGAAAGAAAGCAAAGATGCTGAATGCAAAAAATAGGATAACGCGAGCAGATATTGTATTCCAATATATACTACTACCAGTACTGAAAAAATATAATATACATAACATTGAATTGTAGATTTCGAATATTGTAGTGTATATTGGAACGTAGCCTGAAGAAGGACAGGAAATATTTCTATTTATTATACCTGTGTTACATTTGTTGTACAATAAACGTAATATTAGCTTTAAATAGCATTTTTTATTTCTTGTATATTATCAATAATGTAATTATTTTCAAGTACGATAATGTCTTGCAATACATGTTCCTTGCAGCTGCCAATCCTGGTACTGTAGCTCAAACTTACGACTACGGTTACGGACGAGCTGCTCCAGCAGCTACATACGACGCGACAAAAACCGCGTATTACCAACAACCAGCAGCAGCTGCAGCAACTTACACTACTACTGAAACACATTATCAGGCTGCAAAGCCTGCTTACAGCACAACCAGTGCTTATACTGGCACTGCTAGACAAGCCACTACTACTGGACAAGCTAAGACCTATCAAGCATCTGGTACGGCTTATCAGCAATCAAATCCTACACAGAGCGCTACTTATTCCTCAGGATACACAGCTCCAGCTACGCCTGCCGCTACTCCATCCACTGCAACAAATAGTAAGTGTGTTGACTTTTTCTTATACATTTATGTTTAAATATTTTCGGTCCTCTCTTGACCACTAACTGTGACGTAGAAACTAATAACATGAAATTGATCCTCTCACATACATATGAAAAATGCCAAAAAAAATTTTCAAAGCTCTGCTAGCATTCTCGATCATAATAACAATTTGAGGAGTTAGCAGAAGTTTAGAAATTTCATTTTATCTACTCCGAAGAATGGAGCACATTTTCGAGTACATCAGTTTCCCATCGGTGTTCGTCTTCGTGGAGTCTTCGTAGTTCGTCTTTTGATGCATCTTGAAATGAGTAATAGTAAAAGTTTTGTGCCGCGCGAAAATACGAATGGTTTGGGCCCCTCCAAAGTTTGAGGTTTCAATTTCATTTCCCTTAGAAACGGCGAGTACAACGTATTCCGGCTACGACGCAGCGCTATATAGCGCTGCGACTATGTATGTAGCCCAACAGAGTGCAAACAGCAATTCCACTAACCAGAAGACTGGAGGTTGGCAGGGCTACGGACGGAAGGGATTCGGAGCTGGCGGGGGAGGGATGAAGGCAATGCGGCCCAAGCAGCCTCCTAAGCCTCAGCAACTTCACTATTGCGATGTCTGTAAGATCAGCTGCGCCGGGCCACAGACATATCGTGAACATCTGGAGGGTCAGAAGCACAAGAAGAAGGAGGCTTCCTTGAAGGTGCCACAACAGCCCCCAGCGCGTGGAGCAGGCAACAGTCTTCGATGTGAGCTGTGTGATGTAACTTGTACTGGAAACGATGCCTACGCCGCTCACATCAGAGGTGCCAAGCAT